AAAAGGTTTCAGAAAAACCTGGGAAGTCTTATATGAATTGATACGAAGTGAAGTAATAGAAACAGGACAACATTGTACACAGTAACAGTAATAGTGTAAAGATAATCAATTGTGAAGACTTAGCTACTCTGATCAATAAAATGATCTATGACTATTACAAAGGACTCATGATAAAAAATTATATCCAGCTCCAGAGGGAAAACCGATGAGCTCTAAGTGTAAATTGAAGCATTTTTTCCACTCTTCTTCTTGCTTTTAATTTTCTTTTTGGTAGCATGGTCAATAAGGAAATGTGTTTTACATGACTATGTGACTTTACATGTATAATAGATATCACACTAATGCCTTCTCAATAGGTTGGGGAGGGACTGGAGAGAGGGAGAAAATTTGGAATTGAAAATTTTTAAATGAATGTTAAAAAAAAACAACACTGACCAGTATGAAATTCAAAAGCTTCAGAACAAAACAATAATAATTTATAATTGTAGTTAACCACTGTCATTTTTATTACTATTGTCAGGTTCATATTATCCACACTAACAGCAGAAAGCAGCGACACAAATAATTCAAAGGAGGATCATCCCCCAAAATATTTCCTTCTGCAGCAAGCAGACATAGTCTTCTTTATAGTTTTTTTAAAAAATAACTCCTTCAAACAGCTTACATTTCAATGCTAAACACACATCAACTGAATGACAGAACAATGTGGCTATGGAAAGTGCAGAGCAATATGAAGAAAATTAAACTGGGATGAAAGCCTGATTACAGATAAGTCTTACTAAACATTGATAATCTTCCCAAAGATAATGAAGAGCAAATCACCTCACTATCCTAACTTCTGTGTCCTCACACCTAAAAAGGAGGGGTTGTACTAGATGGAACTCTAAGGCTTAAGAACTGACTGTACAATGTTCAGAAAGTCACTTCCTGTGACTAATATTATTCACAATTTCAGAGCTGTTGTAAGAGCAGGTGAACAACAAGAGCCTGTTTTGGGAGTGGGAAATGAAAACAATTTCTAACATGTCTTTACCTTGCAGAGCTGGCATGAGCACTGCCTACTGGAATTATGTCCTAATATTGCTGTCAATTCTGAAGGTTCTGGTTGTTAGACTAGTGATGTCAAACTTATTTAAAAAAAAACAAAAAGCAAAAAACAAACCCCACAGATCTCGAATGGCCACACATTGTCTTAGAAAACTGCAAATTAACAATTATATTGTATTTTTATTTGTTAAACATTTCCCACTGACATTTTAATGTGTCTCCTGGGCTTACTCAGGAATTTTGGGGCTGAGTTTGACACCTCTACTTTGGATAAGTGGCTTCCAAATATTTTTGATTGTTTACCCTATCAGTAAAAAAAAAAAAATCTAAGCATATAACCTCAGTATGTGTACTTATTTATAAATTATATACATGAACTACTATATTATTAATTATATACATTATAAAACAAACAAAAATAGAAATTAAAAAGAATGAGATAAAAATGAAATAACATTTGATCTTAGAATTAATAGGAAACTACTGGAGGCGGTCAGACTTGAACTTTAGGAAAATCATTTTTGACAACTATGTTGAAGATGGATTGGAGAGGGTAGAGACTTGAGGCAGGAAGGCCAGTAAGGAGACTACTGTGATGGTCTTGGTAAGAGGTGATGAGGGCTGTGTGATCAGAGAAAAGGAAACAAATCTGAGATGATGTGAAGGCAGATATAAGATTTGGCAAGTGAACGGATACATGGGGTGAGAAATTGAAGACATTCAGTTGTGAACCTGGGTTAGAAATCAGAAAGTGGTTTATATTTTCCACAACACCATCTCCCTAGAACTATAATACTTAGTGGGATAGATATAATACCAGTCTAGCAGCCCTATCAAGCCTGGAGACAGTATCCCATGCTCCTGGGACTTACCTGTCTGACTCTCTCCTACTTCAACTATCATGCAGGTAGAAGTGCAGGCACCATGTCGGGCTCTCTTTTTTGCACACAAACCTTTTCTGTTGCATCCCATTGTCCTCCTTCCGTGATTAGCTTTTCTTTACACTGTATGTATCTGATATGTACAGACATGTTTACATGTTGTCTCCTCCACTAGAATGTAAGCTCTTTGAGGGTATGGATTATTTCTGCATTTCTTTGTATCCTCAGTGCTTAGGACAGTGCCGAGCACAGAGGAAGTGCTTAATAACTGAGTGCTGACCGATAAGTGGTCCAGAGGAAAATTATGTCAGCCTCCATAAATCAAATCTACAAACATTTAAGACTTTTGTATAAGGGCAGGCCTTGAATTTATTTCTCTGAAAATGTACTATACTACTAGTTAAAAGGTTTAATGAAATACTTGAGATGAATGTTCCTATCATGGGCAAGGAGAGGAGAGGAGTATCATTTCAAGCAAATTGTGACAATTTGTACTCAAATAATAGTTGGAAAGAATTGATAGTAATTTAGCGGTCTTTAAGAAAAAACTTCATCATGTTTTGCTACTGTTACTGGACTATCCCTGGAGAGATTAGTGGTCTGAATTATACTGCCCTTAAGATATGAGTACTCTACGTGTACCCTTGACTATTCCCTCCCTTCTGCTTAAATCAACTTTAGATTTCTCATAAAAATTATTGTTTTTTAAATATGTGTGTGAGAGTGTGTATCAGGAAAGGAAAAAGTAGAAAAGGAATGGAAAAAAACAAAGAAGGCAAAATAACAAAACAGAAAAAAAACCCTGAATATATTATAAAATAAATATGCTTCTAAAAGAAACTAAACAATGAAAAAGGGGAAAAACAGCTTTCATCAGTTTTACAGAATCATGAATTTCTAGGCTCTCCAAAAGTTTTGAAAGAAAATCAGATACCCAGACTTTTTAGTGGAAGCTGGAATTCCATGTTATCTTTTTAAAAGAATGTTTATAACCTCAAAAACTTGGAAAACATTACTCTATCAAGAAAAAAAAAGAGGTACAAAGTATGAGGAACCTAAAAAGTGGCATTACATTTATAAATCACACAGAGGCAGCCTCTAACTCTTAACTGGGACACATTATAAAACTTCATTCCTAAATTAATTGTTTGGAACCAGAACAAATTTCCTCATTCAAACAATGTTATATATCGTGCTTGCTATTTTTAAAATTGAAATACTCTTTATTAGGCTGATCTTCAAACACCAAAAAATGTGAACTTTGTAAATGTCCATTTACAAAGAACAGAGAAAAAGAGTACTGTATATGAAATCATGAATCTCATTAGTTCATAGATTATAGTTTCTTGGGGGTTTAAGCACACATTAAAATTCAGTTCATTAACTGCAACAGTCCTCTTGTCTCTTTCCTTCCAAATATCTTCTATTCTCTTCTGTGTATTAAAAAAATGCTTTATTGATACTCTTTTCTTTTTTCTCCCTTTTTAGTACCACTATCAATACCACTCCCTCTGCATGTACCATCCTTCTCCAAAATACAAAAACCCCCAAAACCTTCCTTGTAAAAGACAGCTTAGTCACACAAAACAGATTCATGTATTTGCCATATCCAGAAATGCCTATCTCATTCTGAGTGATGAGGGTTACTGTCTTTGGGCCAATTCGCAATAGCTCATTTCAACTATAATGTACCTGAAACATTTTATTAAATAATACTACTTTACCTAAGAATCCTCGATACATGGGAAAATATTATAAATCCAATCTGGGATGCATAGAACACATTTCACTCTCTCAAGAATATAGGAAGAATGGAAAAGAATCCGCTACTCCTAGGTATCAGTATCCAGTATTCTACATATGCCTAAGAGAGACGGTAACTCTAGAACAAGGGTTCATAATCCGGGCTCTGTGAACTCTTGAAAAATTTTGATAATGGTATTTTATAAAATTGATTTCTTTTGTAATTCTATATCCTTTATCTTATGCCTTTAAAAACATTCTGAGAAAGCTTCCATAGACTTCATCAGATCATTGCCAAAGAGATTTATGATCCCCCCCAAAAAGAAAAAAAGGTTAAGAACCCTTTTGTCTAGAGCAGTTCTTCCCCAAGTGTTCTGGATTGGAGAATAAACTGCAAATTGGGAAGAGAAGGCCCAGGAAGGAAAAAAAGCTTTGGGACTTAAAAGCTCTTCTGTTGATGCATGATTCATTTATTCGTTGCAATAAATCAATAATAACCCATAAAAGTTATTTTGTTGTTCACTGACCTCAAATCACTGTTCCTTTTTTTATAATTTAGAAATATATTTTAAGTACATCATACATTTAATTAATCTTATTGCTTCTAGATATGTCAAACTGCTATTTCATGTCCCAAAATAATGAGGTTAATGGGACAGGAAGTAGTATTTTATAATCTGTTCAAGGCAGCAAACAAGTAATTTTTCCAATTAAAATATTCATCTTTACTCCCCTATTCCCCACTTTTGGAATACTGTGCACTCCCCAGAATGCTCCCCTAAGATTTCTAAGCAAAGGATGTTTTACTCCCACTCCTCAGTGAGTACTTTGCCATTCAAAGGAAAAGCTTAAAAATTACCATAGGGTTAATTCCCACAGAATGACCAGAAACCAAAGTTATCAGAATCCTAGTGAAAACCTTACTTAACTAAGCACAGAGGATGTCATGCTAAAGGAGTCAACTCATTTAGAATGGATATTCATCATGTAGAAAGTTCAAATATATGTTGTACAAAATGGCCATTGTTATTTTATCTTGTATTTGCACCACTGTATAACAATACAAATTCCAAATACAGGTTCCACCAGCATACTTAACAATAAAGTCATGCTACTTTAAGTGTTTGGACATTTATCTTATAAATGTAGAACTGTATAAATGTAATCTATAACACACAATTATTCAGTTTAACCACTCTCATAGTGACCGTTTTTATATCTTTAAATTCTTAAAAAAAATGTTAGCATTTCTTCTAATATCACTTGAAGGAGAAAGAAAGGCATAGCTATAGAAATATCTGTAGAAAAATTAAAGTTCCTAAAACATACCTCCTCTGTTTCCATTCTCTTCATCCTATGAAAGAAAAAGCAAATATAAATAAAGTCTGCTTGCACCACTGTAAGTTAAACTGAAAGCTTCAGTTTACTTCAAACCAAAAGATCTCCTTGAGGCTTTTTTTTCTGCATTAATTGAAAAACAGCTACACTTAGTGGACTAACATGAATTTTAAAAAAAAAATGTCACCAAAAGCCATATATTCAGTTGACATAAAATAATGTCAATTTGTTAAAAAAAAAAAAAGAAAAAACAACCCTGAATTTGGTGTTATAAAGATGTTAGAAAATAAGAGATTAACAATAAACTATAGATGGTGCCCATTTGTGCACCACTTTAAAACAGTTTTTAAATTGCTTACAGTGAACAGCTCACACATTCACTGTCCTGATTTTAAAAAGCAATGTTAGCTTCATCAATTTAGAGACTGGTGAAAACTATCCAATGAGGAGATAAGGGCAGTGAGGAACAAAAATCTTTCCTGCTCTGAAATCCCATATGTAGGCTAGGCCAGGAGGGAAAACTGGCAAGCCACCTGCCCCTCATTGCCACTCATAACACTCCCCTGATGATTTACATTCAGCAAATTCTCCCACCTTTGAAATTTACTCCCTCTGCATGTACCATCCTATCTAGTCCCTGGTGCCTGTTACCTACCTATCCAAAAGTCAGTCAATCTCTCTCCTTTCTGAAGGCGTTCAGTACCCAGATCCTCGCCATTCCAATCACTGAGGACTTTCAGTTACACACTGCTATCCTCTCAAATATTCTTGCTTTCTAGTTCATCAATCCTTTCAATGGCAACTTCTGGTCGCCTCAGGAATACACATAGCAGAATCATATTCTTGCTCTTGCTATCATTCACTAGACTTCCAGATTGACAATCTATCACTTTGAAATTCCTCCATAAATAACTTCCTGTCCTTTCAGCTCTTGGTGTGGATAGTGATATCCTGTACAGAAAAGTGAAATTAAGAAAAGGGGTGGGTTCGGGGAAAACATAAATAGTTGTTTTGGACATGCTGAGTTTGAGAAGCCTAAGAGATATACAGCTGGAAATGTCTAAAAGACAATTGGTGATCCAAGACTGAAGCTCAAGGGTACAGATCTAAGAATCCTCCACATTGAGATGATAATTAAACTTGTTGAGATGAAGAGATTACCTAGAAAGAATGTAGATCGGAAAAAAGATGAATGTGCCTTAGAATGAGAGTTCCTCAAACACAGAACTTTCCCTTACACTTACATTACTAAGCAAAAAGAATCTATTTGTTACGAGCTTCCTCTTCTCCGCTATAAATGCGAAACCCCCGACACTAACTCCCATTGTCTCCTCCCCTACTTCAGTCTCTGATAAAGAGGTGATGGGAAACTTAAGAAGAATAAACTTTGGAAAGCTTCTCTGGGTATCAATTGTCAAAAAGGGAAGAGTAAAAGGACTGTCTTAGAGCAGTCAAATGAGATAATTTAAATTTGTAGTGGATCCTGTCAACATAGCTGTATGACTTCTTCCAGAACCCTTCAGCAGCCTGTGAATAGAACTGGGGTGGTGAACGGTGCAAGTAGTCGAGGGCTAGGGCTTGGGTTTGTTAAGTCATGAGTGGAGGTAAGACAAAGGGCCAAGGGATTCAAAGTGGAGGACAGTATAAGGATGAACTCATTAACTATAGGGTCAAGATAGGGAAGAAAGGAAAGTCAGAATAGAGGTGATAATGTGGGAGATCCCAAAAGGGGGAGGAACTGTTTGTTAAGGTGAGGACAAAAAACAGCTCTAGGAAGGAGAGAAAGAAGGATAGGAAAGAACTTCATAATTCTTGGCCACTGATGTGAAATACATGTGCACGATGATCAAGGGTATGATTGTTTCTGTAAATGGCTGAGGAAGAGTGGAGGAATGGGTCAAAAAAAACTGATAAACTGGGAAGTGTTTGAAGGAATGCCAAGATAAGAGTTTGAGTTCATAGGTATATGGGAAAATATAATTTAAAAAATGAACATTTTCAAGTGTGTTTCTATCAGATTTGCTTCTCTTTTTGATCACTTCCCAGAATTTATTAAAACTGCAGTTAAAATGACATTCTAAAATCATTCTGTTTAAATAATTATATGTCATTTCTAACTAAAGTAGATTAAATTTAGAAATTATGAGACAAAAAATTTCCAAAGATTACAAACTTAGAGCTGGAAGGCACTTTAGAAGCTATTGAGTTTAAACCCCTCCTTTTACAGATGAGGAAACTGAGGCTCAGAAAGGGGAAGTAACTTGACCAAAGTCATATAGCTAGTGAAGTGTCTTAAGATGGGAAAGGAACTCAAATCTTCCTGACTCCAGATCCAGTGCTCTCTCAAAGCATTTAAAATAATTAAAGTTCCTGAATACCTTTTACCACTTCTAAATGATCTGAATGTTAAGTTAAAATTTTTTTTTCTGAAATGTATTGCAAAATTATATAGATTTTGACCAGTCTGTACTACTTACAGTTTTATTTCAGTTTTTAAAAAGCATCTAAGAGCAGGGATTGCAATAGAGAGAAAAACTGAACTTGAGAAAGAAGAATTGCATGGGAACCCAGAGATAACTGGCACAAGAATCTTCATAGGGTGGTATCTGGATAGAGTGAACTTCAAAAGAGGAGATTTTGAGTTCTGGTAACAGAAAGAGGATCTGGGAATGGCAGAGGAGGGCACAGTGTATTGTAACAATAACAATAATAATCACTAGCATTTATGTAGCACTTTAAGGTTTGCAAAATATTTTAAAAATATTAGCTCATTTTATCCTAACAACCCTGGGAGGTAGATGCTATTATTATCCCCATTTTATAGATGACAGAACTGAGTTAGATAGTGGTTAAGTGACCTGCTCAGGGCCATATAAATAGTAAGGGTCTGAGACCATATCTGAACTCACATCTTCCTAATCCCAGGCACAGCATTCTATCTACTATACCAACTAGTTGTTCTAATCTAATCTATGACTACTTCTCCTTCTCAGACCAGCTGGAAAGGATGGCCATGGATGAGCCAGGTTTCTGTAAGGGTCAGAAAATATAAAGAACAGGAGAAGAGGTCTAAGATGAAGTTTATTGACAAAAGGGTGGGAATTCTAATGGGATACTATGAAAGAAGATAACTACGGTGGTTCATTTAGACAGCAGGGATGATTCTGTGTTACTGGGATTGGGAGAGTAAGCAGTGGGACTTTGGCATCAAGTAGGATGGGAATGTAATATGTTTTGGCTGAGGCTGCCAGCCTAAAGAATCATTCTAATGGCAAAGATAGGTATCAGTCCTTTTAAGGACTGAACCAGATGTTAGCGACCTTTCCTTGTAGACAGTGTCTTAGAAGCAAGAGAGTCCTGGGCTGGATGGGGACTTTTTTGTTGAAGTGTTAAGAGGCAAGTTATCTGGGTGAAGCTTTGGTCTTGGTTTTGGTCCAATCTGCCACAAGGCTCTTCCCTGGACTGGTAATAAGAGAGGTGAGCTATAGCATTCAGGCAGTAGTAGCACAAATTATTAGAATGTAAGGAAGAGTGTAATGGAACTGATCACAGAACAATGGCTGACTTAAGTCAAGTGTTCAAGTCAGTAACTTGTCTGGTAAGTGGCTTCAAGATAAAGCAGGTCTTATGCTGTGTTTTCAAATCTTTAAAAAAAAACAGCCTAGAAAAAGTGAACATAATTTCATGAACTAAAAACATAAGTTAAATTTCCCTTCCATGCATTCTATGCTCCAACCAGGCTGGACTTCTTGCTTCCTCTTTCCCAAGTGCAACTGGTACTTTCTTACCTCTGTGACTCTGATAATGCTTTTTCCTATGTGTATGAAATGCTCCTTCCCTTAACACGTAAAATCTCTACTCAGCCTTTAAAATCTGAATCAAATGCCACCTTTTCCAGGAAAACTTCCCTGATTCCAAGTCAGGGATGATATTTTCCCATTTGGACTTCATAAGGCACTTGGCTCACACCTCCGATGAACTCACCTGGTATTCATTAATTGATTCTAACATTATTTCTGTGTGTCACAGTCTGCTTACTATCCTAAACTATAAATTCTTCAGGGCAGGGGCTTTATCTTATCTAAACTCTGCATTCCTCTACCCACCCCAGCACAGTATTCTATGAAGCAGACACAATAAATAGTGAACTAAATATTAACCTTACTATTGTAAAACTTGTTTGGTCAGAGTATCTGTAATCATTGAACATTAGGCTGAAACTTCAATAGAGCAATTTCCTAGAGTAATAATGTTTCTTTTTTTTTGGTGACATTTTTAAAGATACTATCTATACCTATATAGATAGATAGATACATACATACATATATACAATAAAGATTCAGTAAAATATTTTATTAAGTTCATCTGCTTACTATGTTTAATAAAGTGTAATAGATTAATCCCTTCTGGTAGGTGCAAGTACAAAATGGAAGTCAATAGCTCTAAATCCCAATCCCAATCCAAGATACTTTAAATGTTAATCCTAAGAGGGTTAAGAATCCCTACAGATGATCCAGCAATTTTAGAAAGCAGCTATCACCCCACAACTCTTAGAAGAGAGAAAGTACAAATGCAGTCACTTAAGACTTTTTCAAAGTGCTTTAATACTCCCAAGGCAGATTCCCTTAAGAATCAATCAACAGAAGCATAAATTATAAAGAACCTGTACTTTAAAAAAATCACAAATAAAAATATCAGTACATTGTCTAAAATCAGTTTTCACACTACTTTAAGTATTAGTAAAGCAGTGTGGAATTATTAACTAAGGAACACCAGTGGCTATAATTCACTTTAGTGAAGAACTATCTTTTAGGACGTAACATGCTACTCCAGAGCTTCTGGATGATATAGAGGTGATTCCAGGTTCATGAAGACCATGCTAATGGAGGGGTAAACCCTGGCAGGTACTATAACAGCCTGGAAAAAAACTCAGATATGGCCCCAATGACAGGTCATGTCTTCTGGCTAAGCATTCATCACTAGGTTACTATGTGATATACACTTTGGCCATGGCACTACTATAGTACAGCTCAAAAAATTAACATTTTCTGATTCAAATGTTTTAATTTCAGTACAACTACTTAAATATTTTCCAACCAACTCCAAGATGGCTAGGAATAATGGAAATTAAATACTGGAAAAGGAAGATCAGGATACAGCAGGTCCTGAAGGAGAAAGGTATTGGAAAATTCAGTAAAATACTTAGTAGAAGGATAAAAGCTCACTTATGAGCAGAGTTATATCCAAATATTTAAGCTTTGTTATATATATTTTACTATATAACATTTTAGAAGTACTTGACAGTTTTGTTACTGACATAAAATTTATATATAAATAAAATTCAAAATGTAGAAACAGACTATAATGAAAGTAAAAACAAATGAGAGAGAAAGTGAACAGAAAACATGTGAAAAAGTATAGTGACTATTTTTAATGCACACACCCAATTCTAGCTATTTCTCTCTTACCTTACAGGAAAAATGAATAGCAGACTCTGGGGGATAAACAATAAAATGCCTTAATGTAAAACCAAAGCCATGAGATGTTCTCTTTAACATAACCGTTTTCGGACCCGGCCAAGAAAACGTTTCATCTTCAGATGGTGATACTGCTTCACTTTGCTCTTTTCCATCTTTATTTTTTGTTACCTAAAATGAAGATAAAGAAAACCTCTGTTTTACTAATACAATTTTGACACACTTTTAAAAATCACAATGGAGTTATACCCAGATTCTTTCACCTAAAAATAATCAGCAATGCATTGAAACACTACCATAAAACAATTTCTACAAGTTCTTCCAGTAGACAGATGTATATTAACTAAATCTCAGATGATAGCTAATTATGGCATGAAAACAATACTATACTTGGACGAACTTATAGATAAATAACTATACATTCATTATTGATTCATTGCAACAAAGTATATAGACTTTCAAAATCAACCCCCTCCCCATTTTTGCTAAGATCAACAAATAACAACTTCATCAACCAGTGATACATACTACCAATTCAGTCATTAGGACATGGGCTACCTATAAAAAGAAAATGAAGAACTGACCCAAATTATAATTGCCACATAATATAAAGTCCCAAGAACTACTGAAGTAAAAGTTCTTCCTCTGTACAACATGAGGTTTTAAATAGGAGCTAACCAACTAACATTGCTAACACTAAATTTTGTCTTCTTTCTGTAAAATCTTACTTTTCCTCAAAAGAATAATTTAATATAAATTTCACTCTTTTTGAAATTCTGAAAAAAGTTTTACCTGCTTCCAACATAGGAGGATCCTATTAGCGTCCACATTTAAGAGTAAATTAAAAGAATGTTAAATAGAAATAAGCCCCCAAAAGATAAGTTGATTTCTATAGACTAATCATTGCGTGTAGAGATTCCCAGTATACTGACATGTACCTCAGAATACTTAACTAGGTACAAATTATATAAACCAACAGTCCACTCCTTAAAAAATTATTTTTCTTCTAAGTGTAAAAACTTCATTTACATTTTACCAAAATTTGAAATATTACATAGTGAGTTATTGCAATAGAAATAATTTTTTAAAATAATCATGAAAAAATTGGTATTGAAAAAATGAATAGAACAACTGTAAAAGATTCTGAGAATATTTTCATTATCTAACCTTAAGGGAATTAAGTGTTAGACAGCAAAATTTATGTTTTGACTAACAAAACTAAAGTATATTCATTGATTAGAAAGCTGTTGTAAATGATCACACAATTGGTTGAAGGGGACAGAGAATAAAATATCTCACTGTGCATACTGTTTATTACCTATAGAAAAAATTGATTAACTACTCCCTTAGGTTTTCCTCCAAAATGAAATTCCCCATGAAAATAATGAAATTATATGATTCCTTTAAAGATTTAATAGAAACAACCTGTTATGACTTTATTTTTAATCCTGAGGCAGGCATATGTGTTCATGACTCTCATAGAGGGTGTCTAGCAGAATCCAAAAGGAAGAGAAAATTGGAATAGATTATGTCTTCCAGATATTCTTATATGTGGATAACACTGTAGTGATCTACTGGGCCCCACTGTATAGTATCCTAAACGATACCAAATTACACAAAAGTGTTTGGTTTAACTATGCACACATATACACATACATACACTTATACACACGTGTGCACACACAAAGAAGAATTCTCATTGCCTAGGTCATAATATATGGATGATATTAATATGCATATCTTGGGAAAATGCTGTGTATAGATGGCAAATGGGGCTTATAATAGAAAATAAGAAAGCAGGCCATTTGAGAAATGCATTTGAGAAACTGTACAATCATATCTGAAATACTCCAACATTTTAATAAGCCCAACTTTCTCCTTTAGGAAAAGGCTCATATTTTTTCATACCAATATTCTTTGAGTAAAACTTTCTGGATGCAAGTCATGTAACACAAGTCTTCTGGTTATCCAACAACTGGAGAGGCAAGTGCTTGACATGTGAAGGTACATTATCAATTGAGAACAGTGCAGGAAATGCAATGTAATGGATATTATCAGAAAGATGGTAGGCTAGGCATACAGCACTGAGTGTGGGATCACTAAAAGGATATACACACACATACCCTATATGTATATGTGTATGTATATACATACATACAACACATACACACACACACACCCCTCATCTATTTCATCTACAAGCAAAGTTATATGGAAGGCTGCTAGCACTCTGGATTGGCCCTCACAGAGTATCTCTTGGAAGGCCTGGAAAGGAGGCAAACTGTGATGAAAAGGCATGGAAAAGGCATGGATGAGCTTTTAGGGGTGAGATTATAGATTTATCAAAGTAGCTCCACCACTTTGCAGAGTGTCTTGCATATTCGCAGGTACATAATAATTTTTTATTGTATTAAAGTAAACACGGTACAAATTAGGACACAAATGCCAAGAACAAAGCCATGACAGATCAAAGAAGAAAGGATTCCTTCTAGTTGAATACATCTGAGAAGGCATCATAGACAAGGCAGCACCTGAACTGAGATTTGAAGTAAGAAGAGATAACAAAATATTAAAGTTAAAACACAATGTTAGAGGCAGAGACAGTGGATGGATCTGTTGCAGACACAGGGCTCAGAATGTACAAGTGCCCACAGAACAGGAAAGCAAGCACCAGGGAGTAATCTAGTTTGGCCAAAGCGTACAGAGCATAAAGTAAAATAAATTTGAAAAGGTAGCCTTGAACTCAAAGAACATTAGAGCTGGAAAGATTCCAGGCACTGGATCCCAATGGTGGCCATCTTTGAATGCCAGGCTAAGAAGTCTATGTTGTTGGCAAACAATGGGGCACCACAGAATGTTTCTGAGGAAGGAGATGCTGCGGTCAGAAGGTATATGCACCAAGTGCATTATATGCTACTTGATATAATTCCAAAAATACTAGCAATAGCAAGAAAAAAAAAAAAAAGGAAATGATAGGTATAAAGAGAAGAATAGATTTTCTCCATTTCGCCTATTTGTTGATGACATGATGGTTTACTGAGAAAATCCTAGGGAATCAACAAATAAACTAATTATGACAATAGTTTTAGTACAGTTTCAAACTTTAAGATAAACCCACAAAAATCAAGGGTTTTTTTAAAATACACAATAACAAAAATCCAGAGAGGTAAAGAGAAGAAACAGAAGAGCATTTACTAAGCACCTACTAAGTGCTAAGCACTGTACAAAACACTTCATAAATATTATCTCTTTTAGTCTTCACTCATCCCTGGGCTATTATTATCATCTCAATTTGATGATTAAGAAAACTGAGGGAGACAGAACACTTAATTGACTTGCCCAGGACCACTAGGAGGAATTTCAGAAGGCTTCTTGGAGGAGGTGGCATCTGATTCATGAAGAAAGATAATCATCCTAAGAGGCAACAATGAAGAGGGAGTGCATTTTAAGTATGAGGGGAGAGGAAAACAGGTAGGAACTACAATACCAAATAAAGGGAAAAAACTTGTCTAATTTGCCTGGAACACAGAACATTTGAAAAGGAGTAGCTTAAGACTGAAGAGTAGGTAGAAAAAGAAAAGCTCTATTTACACATATAGATATATGTATGCATACACACAAGTGTAAAATATATATTTATAATACATACATATTTTGTGTGTGGATAGCTATATCTACTTCTACATTTTTTAAAAAACAAAATCAGCTTTTATCCTTTATCATGGTTTCTTTCAACCTTGGGTTTTTACACAACTAAATGATCATGTTATGGAATCTTCCATGGTTGTCAGAAAAGCAAATTTTAGTACATAGTAATTTAATTTCTCTTACTTTTTCTTTCACAAGCACATTTGTGATGAATCCTATTCCTTGTTTCCATCTTATATTCATTTTATCTCAATACATCTATTTAGGAAATCTTAACTATTTACTGGAGACATTCATTTTAAGAGATCTTCTCTATAAGGAAATAGGATCTAGTGTTCAAGAACGCTAGATAGGAATTCAGAGGACTAGAGAGTAAATTCTTAGCTCAGTATTTCCTAGTTGTGTGACCTTGGACATGTCATTTTATAAGTACCTTTTATGAAGACAAAAATGGCACACATCAAATTTGCTGCTAACATATTGGATGATCTCTAAGGTCCCTTCCAGTTCTAAATCTGATTAATAAATTAACTAAATAACAGGATCATAATCCTGTGATTCAAAAAGATTTTAGGTTAGAATTCTGGGCCAAACCAAGTAAGATGAAATTTAAAAGGCAAAAATGGAAAGTCCTCTAGTTAAGTTCCTAAGTACAAAGTACAAGGGAAGGGAGACACGGCTTTAAAGTGATTCATCTGAAAAAAAGGTTATGGGTTTGGAGAACTCTGAGCTCTATCAATAAGTCAACACTGATATGGTTGGTGGCCAAAGAAGCAAACACTATGCTACCTCACCTGTGAGAGGCCTCATATCCTAGACTAGAGACATAAAAAAGTCCCACTATAGAGAGAAAATCTTGCCTGGTTCTGGATGCCACCATTTGGAGAAGAACACAGGTAAGTGGGAACGCACATCAAGGAGAACACCCAGGACAGGGGGAAGACTAGAAATCCTATCATACCATACTATGGTTGAAAAATATTTAGCTGAGAGAAGAAAAGGTGAAAAGTCTTAGAGGAATGCACGAGAGATGTTCTTAGATATTGGAAAGGTCATCATGTAGAAGAGGGGAAGAGACTTAATTAGGAATACTAGTTCCTAGGGCAAATTAACTTTAGCTGTTAGAAGAAAGAGTAGAACTAAAAAAGATTTTAAGATTGCAGATTTTAAGACCAATGGTCCCCACATGGAGAGATTCTGGGTCACAGCCCCAGTGGAAGCTTAGATTCTTGAAAGGAATGGATGAGTAGAGAGTGTATTGTATTAGTGGAGGATAACCTGTGCAGATGCATTGGTGGGAGAAATGAATATTGCAATACTCCCTACCTGCTGTCTCTGCCTACCTCCATCTTCTCTCAGGAATCAGGATAAGTCGCTATTCTGTGTGAGTCATGGGTCAGATTCTCTGGAAGAGAACATCTCAGTCTGGGTTCCCTCTCTTGTTCTAAAAACTGATGATAGATCAGTGATGCACTTTGTGAGTCTGAGATGAAAAGCATACACATTGATTCTAGGAGAT